AACCCTTATCAGATATATGTCTTGCTAGAATAAAGTCAAAGCAGGATGCCTGGCAGCTCACTAAGAGCTCTGCTGTGGGTCAAGGCCAATACATAATGCAAGGTCCTGGCATTCCAACACATCATGTCTTTCTATAAAATACATATAGAGTAGCTAAATGGATGGAAAGCTTTCTCTTTTTTCACCCATTGCCTTTGGAGGAATTTCTTTTCCTATTTCTGCCCCTGCCCCCCCCGACCCGCATTCATGAAGAATGAAATCTACCAGCTCCTGTAAAACAAAAACTCTAAAATGCAGAACATTTCAAAAAAATTATGACTATTTAAACTTCTATAAGCTGATTCAATAATAAAGCACTATCCTCTATTATGTTCTGGAGATTTTAAACATAATCATATTAAAAATAATCTTGGTGAGAACAAAGCTTGGAGGATAGCTTTACAAATTTACATTATTCCTACTAAAACAATTACGAATGGTTTGAATGAAATTTAAGATCTTTTAAAAAGCATTATGCAAGACTGATTAATCTTAAAACATTCCTCCAATGAAAGGGTAATGTCGCTAAGATTTCAGTATTGTTTTAAATTTCACATGTGATTAGAGAAGAAAATAATCTGATGTGTGCACCCTTTTAACTGTGTAACTTTTTTGAGTTTATACAGTATCTACCATTACAATAAGAACCACAAAAATAGCATTGGCCTGATTGAGATATGAATTTCTCTCTATTAAAACAAAAATCAAACCAAAATGGATTGCTATGAAGATGGCATATTTTTGTTTGTTTGTTTTAGGGTTGGAGATATTTATCTATGTATTGGGATCTATCCTGTAAAGCACGTAGGCATGTTAAGGCTTTTTGAAGTCAATAGGACTATTCATGTTAGAAAACATTCTAAGCATAAGTGGCTTTTTTATTATTCCCATATATGTATTAAATTAAAAACTTCCCTTTTCAGACCTCCTGCAAGATTCCTTATTCTTTAGATATCATAGTCATGAATTACTGTAAGTCCTCATATGCCCCAGATATTTGTGCAATATTACACTTTAGAATGAATACTCCCCCTGGCAAGAAAAACAAGCAGTGCCAGATATCACACTCAGATACATAGGGATGAAAGTTATCATAGAAGTTTGTTATTTACTACTGAAATCAAGGAAATTTAAAATTTTTGGTTTAAAATAATAGCTTCTTTCTTTGATCTAAAAAAGACTAATAGCCATATAGCTTGAACATAGATTATAGGTTTGATAAATGGCCACTATGCTTCAGTGAAGAGTAATTCTTTCTACAAATGAGCTACAACTCATGATAATATTTGTGTGAAGTGATTGAAGATACAGCAAAAGAATGGTATATGCTGAAGGACTGTGAATCCTTTTTTCAGTAATAGAATACTTTATTATTATTTATATATTTAGCTATGTATTGGCAATGAGTGGCATTGGAAAATGACATTGATATCAGATGTAAAATAAATCAATTTGATATATACCATAAGATTCTTATCCAGATATACAGATACTGTTTTTCATATAGAATTCTCATAAGATTGACTAATAAACAGAAGACCAAAATGTAAATAAATGACAGGGAAGGGTTGACAGTAGGATGCCATGTGGATCAAAACTAGGCTAAATACTATTTTATATGTTAAGGATGCAAAATTTGCAAATGATTAAAAGATTAGAATAATCAATGTTAAGGAAGACTCTAAACATCTGGAGGGATATAGTGAATGCAGATAAAGGAGAAGCTTGATGAGAATTTTGGTATTAAGTGTAATCTGTCATAGCAGAAGACATAATTTTACTAATCTTACAGATTTCTGAGAGAAGCTATGATATGGTTGGACAGAAGAATAGATACTATTCGAGGAAGAACATGATGTATAGTTATAGAAAGTAAAACGTGGGACAGAACAAGTAAATTGGTGTTTGTTATTTATTCTTTTATAGTGCAGGAATGATTTTCTGTTACTGTAAAAGATGACACCTCTAAAATTGATATGAGTAAATACATTTTGGGACTTATTGCCATAAGGTATTGCAAGCCAAGGGCATTTGAGATAGAGTTTAGGTATTTGTATGAGTAACAAGAGACATTCATAGATGAAAACAATTTCAAAATGAGAAATATATATCAAAGCTTTAGCACATAAGCAGATCAGGTGTTGCTGAGTGGTGAGGAGGACCTGTTCTTGCTAGGAGTGCTCTGGCTCTGTGAGCTCCTTCATGGACCAGTGCCTCGTCCCATGCACAGTCAGACCTTGGTGGGTCCAGTACACAGGATGGCTCTTGCACCTTCTGGAGTCCTTATTCAATGTTAGTATCGTCACATAAGGATATAACATATTCCATGCAAATGTGTGCATACTTTTAGGTAATAAGAGGAGGTGTGCAGTACCTTATGCGTTATATTTGATGCTTTCATCTCCAGAATGGTATGGAAGAGAATGTCAGGCATAGCACAGAGATGCTACTTTGCATGCAGTTATGTGCGATTAGCAAAGGCATTAAAGCTTTACAGTATAGCAAAAGGCATTATTTAAAGTCTGTAAATCTACTGTCATTTTTACATTAAATTCTTTCTCTTTTAATTGTAGAACTCCAGGAGAACAATGTAGGAATGCTTATAATATTAAATTGCTTACTGTTCCACGATTCCCTATAAAATTCCCTGCAACATAAATGCCAAATGTATACCTGATAACCTCCAATTAGTTATTATATGCTGACATTCAGAACTGAATTACCATGCGTAAATATTAATTAAATTTGTTTTAAACATCATTGATTAGACTGCAGTATAGAGCCCTATTATTTCTACTTGTCAAGCCTACCAAAATGTTTTTTTATCTTTTGTTCTGGGGCAGGTGTTATCTTATCATGCAACATGTTCGAAGGCAGAAGTTGATAAATTTAAGGTAAGGATTTAAGTTTTTAGTTATTCCTGAAAATATAACAGTAAATTAAAATGGACATAGATTATCTGAGAGAAAAGTTTTACATCAAAAGCAGAAAATCATAATTAACAGTGATTTACAAAGAATGTATTACATGTTAGGCTGTTAGGCAGAGAAGGTGGAAAAAATCTTTCAAAGGATAAAGAGCTGCAGTGGTGGGTGCACAGCAGCAACATACCATTGTCCCAGCACCAGCTGCTGGAACTGCACGTCAGCATGTGGCCTTCTCAGCAAGAACCACCATAAGGAAGTCATACCACAGTGGGAGGTGAGGAAGAGACTAGAGAAAATGAGAGGAACTTGAGATTTTACATTCTTAAAGTGTGGAAGTTGTCCTGTATTTACTAAAAAAGCAGAGCATTCACTATCAAGATTGTGCATAGGTTCAGAAGGCTGGACGTGAGTGGGAAAAATCCTCTTCTAACTTCTGTAAGCGCCCTGGGCAGAACTGTAAAATGATCTGTGCTGAACATAGCATTGCTAGGGATCAATAATTATATGTTCACGGAATCCTGCCTTGCCGAGGGGTAGAGAGTAGGGGGAACGTTGACCTTGCTCTTTCATCACTGCCAGCACTCCAGAGCTGCTTTTCTGATAGACTTTGTTTGTCTGCTTGAGGAAACACTAGGGAAGCTTGGTGGCCCTTTCCTTGGCTATGAGGAGTCAGTGTTGTAGAGGGCTCCTCAAAGGTGTTTGGGAGGCTCTCATGGTGGGTATCAGTGTTGGTCTCCTGGACGCAAAGTGCATCGGAGGCTGTGGCAAGGTCTGGGAAGGGGATCTGGACTGTTGTGACCCTGCGCTGCTGGCATTCCTTGCTGTGGCTCCCTGGCACCTGTCTGGCTGAAAAATAGCTGTTTGATGGTTGTTTTGACACTTGGCTGGCTGGCTGCAATCTGATCTCTGCACCACAGGGGTGGTTATGGTGGAAGGGGGAAGCCGTGGGTGACTTAGCAGAGCTGATACTGATGAGTTAGCTGGGCTGAGGAAGGGCAGCTATTGCTAGTTAGTTAATTAGTTTGTAGATTATTGCCCAAATGACGGCTGTGCCTTAGAACTCTGATTGGTATCTGGTGATAAGGGTGTAATATTCTCCCTCCATTGTAGTTATTGGTGCAGTTACCCATCCTTTTGTAAACTGAAGATTAGATTACTGAATTATTGCTGGAATCAAACATGCTTGAAAATCATTCCAACACTGCAGCCAGCAGAAAATACTTTTGTGTGGTTAATAATTTGTATGTTATGTATGGCAGAAAGAACACTGAACACAGAGAGAGGGGAAAGAAAGGGATAAAGGACCATAAATATTTCTTCTTTTTTTTGTGTGTGTGTGTGTTTTAGTTTACCTTAGAATAAGCACCTGTAATATAGCTTCTGTGACTGTCAGGATTCAACCAGTATCTTTCCTACATACCAGAGGGCCATACTTCTTGGTTGCTGTCAGCCATTGAAAGACATTTCTCCATCATGGTCTGTGTAGTTGAAATAAAAGCCTGCTGTATTACTCTTTGGACTTAGATACTAGTGTGATGAGGACTGTTGTGGTTTAACCTGGCAGGCAGCCAAACACCACACAGTCGCTCGCTCACTCCCCCTGCCCCGCAGGGGGATGGGGGGGAGAATCAGAAAAAAAAAAAAAAAGTAAAATTCGTGGATTGAGATAAAGACAGTTTAATAGAACAGTAAAGGAAGGGAAAATAATAATAATGATAGAATATACAAAATGAGTGATGCACAATGCAGTTGCTCACCACTCGCCGAACAACACCCAAAACAGCGATCCCTACTTCCTGGACCACGCCTCTTATTTATATACTGAGCATGATGTCATATGGTATGGAATACCCCGTTGGCCAGCTGGGCCAGCTGTCCTGGCTATGCTCCCTCCCAGCCTCTTGTGCTCTTGGCAGAGCATGGGAAGCTGAAAAGTCCTTGACTACAGGGTACTTGGCAACAACTAAAAACATCAGTGTGCATTCTTCTCATACTAAATCCAAAACACAGCACTAGGAAGAAATTTAACTCTATCCCAGCCGAAACCAGGACAGGAGCTATTCTGCTTGTTTTCCCAGGTGTATTCGTTAATAGATTTGCCAGTCTCCAAGTAAGGAATGTCTTCTCATTATCCATTTACCTTGAAGGCATGTAACTATCCATTTAATGCTTAGTGATAAGGTAAAGGGAAATGAAAAGCATTTATTCATTAATAACCCCAATAGAAACATTTTTATAAAGAACATAGATGAGAAGATGAGGAATATAACCAAGCTATGCTTAAACTAAGCTGAGATACTTTTTCAGAAAAATGTTCCCTTTCCTGTATCCCGTTGTCTCACTTCCAGTTCCTGACACAATGAGTGCCAGGTAGTCTTTGTTTATGCTTTACACCACTGGTTGTAAACAAAACAAAACAACAAAACCCCAGGTCTTGTGGGCCTTCGACAGAGAGCTCATCCCCAGAGAGGGCCATCCATCTGTGGGATGAAATTGCTCCCGTCTCCCCGCTTGCAGAACTCTGGCAGCTGGTCTCCCTGCTGAGGTCTCCTGGGGCATCCTACCCTGAAATCACTGCTCTTTTTTCTGTTCATTATATTGTTATATTTTGTATAAGCTCTTTGTTATATTAGGGTCATCTTCTAGACTTGACTGGCTAATAAACAATTCCTTCCTCTGGGGGTGTTTGGGGCTAAAACTGTCCCCTCTCCCTTTGGTGATTTATTGGCAGATGTCAGAGGAAGTGTGTTACGATTTACCTGATGTTCTGGTTCAGTCAGAACAGGAACAAACACACATGATAGAAACATCTAAATGAGAGTAATGCCACTAGTTCTCTACTGGCTCTTGACTGACATGGGACCTAACAGTAATTAATGACTTTGGAGTGACAATACATTTGAGTTGACAACTTTTCAACATGTTACCTCAAACGTGCTGTAACTGGACCCCAGCAGCTTGGAAATAATTACATATTCTTCCTCCTAGTTCAAGTTGTTTATTTCCATCTTTGTAATCTTATTTCTTTATAGTCTTAATAAAATGCTTTTCCATTAATTTATATTTGCCTAAGATCTCAAGAATACTCTGATACAAAGTGAAAAATTGCAAGTGTACTTGAAGTTTATTCTTCCTCAGGCTTTTACCAGTGAATTAATTTTATTGCATTACAGAAAGCCTAGCAAGACTAGTTAAAGTTGATTTTTCACTTCAAATTTTGTCAATAATTTCCTACTGTTATTGGATGAATTCACAAATATACCTGGTATCTTTTTAAGAATTAAACGCAATCACTGTGAGCAGGCTCTGTAAAATAACATTTATTTCTATTGCTACTAATCCTGTCTAAAAATTAATGAAACAACAAAAAAACCCACCTTAATAAGAAACCCTTAAGAAATGAAATAACTTTCTCCAGATGCTAGGATGGAAAAAAGTGCAGAGCTCTTGGTTGTGGAGCTGGAAAATACAGATGGAAGTTCACAGCATGGAACAATGACACATGAGTGTATGATAATGGACCATGTCATGCAATTGGCCTATTCCGTATCTGATTTCTACAATTGTCTAAAAACAAAGCAGCAACATAGATTCACATTGAATTTTTTTTTTGCATATTTTTGAAGAGATTCCATTTCTGGTGTTACTAAAATATAGTTTTCACTAATAAAAATCTGAAAGCCAAGTTTAAAAATGCTTATGTGATTAGAAATCGTTCTGTTAATGAATGGATGGTTTTTTTTTTTTTTTAGAAGAGAATCCAATTATGTGAATCATTACTGTAAAAATTCATGTCACCAGTCCTTTTCATTATTTGCATTAAAGCTTTTGGGATTCATTAGCGCTTACGCTAGCAGGCACACATGTCTCAGGAGGCCAGCGCGAGCAGGACCAGCGCGAGGCTCAGATGCAGCGTAGGTGGGTGCAGCTCTGCGGACCTGGATGGAGCCACCCACTCAGTTGGTGCCCGCGCCCAGGGGAAGTGGGAATGGAAAGTTCACGCCCTTAACCCGGTGAGCTTGTTTTAGCCATGAGAGAGGGGGCTTAGCCCTCCAGGTAGACACAAGTGGAACTGCAGAGATCTGGATTCAGAGCCTGAGCAAATCCTTTAGTCTCTATAGGTGATAATCTGGCCCTGGGGAAGGTAATGGGAGGTTTGCCATTTGGATGTTGCTGTCCTCAGCTTTGTTTGGCATTTGTAAAATTGCATAGTAATGTTCCCGCTGTCATCTTCCATCTATTTATTCATGGCAGTCAGTCTTTTGTATTGTGTTTTCTGATAGAATAAGATCTCTGAAAAAAGTTAAAATTTAAGATCCAGTCCTCTTTTTATGCCAGTTTAAAAGGTACATTAAGTGAAAACTTGAGTTGGCATGCAGTGTAAAATGGGTCCTTTTTCCTGAAAACGGGTAGGTTTTTAAAATGGGGAAAAACACATGGAAGCTTAATTGATAGTTTCAATAACAGGCAATTGAATTAGAATTAATTATTAATCAGAATTAATCGTGGGGTATCTGCCATTATTCCTGTATTTGGGATATGCGCTGTACTTCCAGGTTCTAAGAAAGAGGATGTCGTTTTTGTGAGTGATTTATAGGATTAAAACAAGAGCGACGAAAACATACAATTTATGGTAAGTATTGTACATAGACTCTCCATTGCCAGATTATTTTACATTTATTTGCTACTCAATATTTTTCAACTTTGATTTTTTTTTTTTAGATTTAAATTATGATGGCTTCCAAAAAAAAAAAAATTAATCTGATATACTGCTAAGTTTATATAAACTGCATAATATTTTTTAGGTTTTCTGATACGTGCTGCATTACTGTGATAGGCAGATTTCTGATACCATTGCTCTAGATATAGGGAGAAAAATTAAACTTTTCATGGGTGTTTGCAAGTAAAACAAAAAAAATCCACCTTTAATGCAAACATTTCTTGCACATCTGTCTGTCTGAAGTCTT